CATTGATCTTCTCAACAAAAAGTGTTGTTCTCACATGTTCAATCATTTTAACCTTACTCAGTAAATTCATTCTCAAAGTATTTCAGTAGTGGCTATTAATTACGCGTTGAGAATTTAACTTACTCGCTATTTCCGCCATATATAAAAACCAATATAAGCATAGCGATTGAATAAAGTAAAGCAGGTAGAATCATTGCTGGGATATAAAATTTCATCCTCATTTTTCGATATCTGCAAGTAACCATTACAGTCGTCCTTATTTAGAAATATATTCAACTTCAGAAGGAAAAAGCAAATCACTTAGCTTCGCCATTTGAGGAGCGCTCTATCTGCCGTCGATAAAAAGATTAAGGTTGCTTTCCCGTCGAAATACTTACCTAACAGGTTTTAAAACAGCGATAGCTCGATCTACGCTGGTAAAAAATAATATAACCAATGCAAAATTTAAACCAAAATTAGGTATTAACTGTATCCAAATGCATGTCCGTAAAGGTGTAAAAGTAATTCCAGTGAAGATAAAGTATGCAAATGGGATATGGCCGATCTGATGCAAAATGTCACCAAATGCGTTGAATGCAATGAGTACATTGTTGATATTATGTAAACGCCTGGAATCCTCATGAATTATAAGAATTCGACAATTATTTTGAAGTTTAGGTTTGAAATTTTTGAACTTGAAACTGAGAATGGTAAAGGTTGCAGAAATCTGCTACGCAAAATGTAAATCTTGATCGCAACCTTCGTAAGATTACTTATACACGCACATTAGTGGAGTTTTCTCTTTCCCTATCTTCCCTCCTTTTGTCCTCCAAAACGTTCTCTGAATTTTCTGAATTCTTTATTTCGATCCTGTCCGATTTTATTCGGGTAACAATAGCCGTTTTAACTTCTTTTAACTTTTCATTACATTCTGTCCGTAAGTTACCGAACTGCTCAGTCACCAATTGAACGGCTCGGTTACCAATGAAAAAGCTGTTATTATGGATCAAATGATAATCAGTGATCAAAGAATAATCATGGGCAATCAATCAATAATGTACTTGCTCTGAATAGTAGCTACAATGAGCGCAGTATTGCCAACGAAGCTAGTTAAAAGACATAGTAGAAAAATGCATATGCATGGTAGAATTGGTACCAACACAGCCATTTGACCACTTTATTGACCTTCAACCTGGAATCGCTTAAACTTAATTCAAATTCATAAATAGCGTTCCTACACGTGACTCCATTTCTTAAATTTATTTCAAGTTCTTGCATAATTCATTTATTAATCTATGTAAAAATGCGACTATTATAGCTATATATACATATGAGCGGAGACTTGGGAAATTATCGGACGTCCATATGCGCACTGAACACATTCGAAAAATGTACCGAACTTCAGATTGATTCTTATATCAGAAAAGTCTGAATGCCTTGTGAAAGGCGGAAAGAGTTGAGTGAAGCAAAAATACAACGCATCTTATGGTTTGTCTGGGAGATCGTCATTAACTTTTTCATTATAATTAATACTTTATGATAAATGGCGAGAAATTTTGTGAATAGATGGGAATATGAATTTCCTAGCGTTCTTTGTTTGCTATTTCAAAAATTGAATAGGTGAAAAATAAACACTTAAGCTTATTTCAGCAATTCGTTTATGTCGTTCGACGATTCGATTTACACATGGCTGGTCGATGACGATGAATGGCTAAAGTGAGGGAAATCTGAGGGTAATGATGTATATTCCCGCAACTTTTGATATGATTAAAAAGTAGTTGGAAACTTCTGCATCGTTAATTTGTTATATTACAGAGGGTTAGTTCAAAGTAGTTACATTATCAACTAGTCCAGTCTATCTATTAACACTTATGAATTAAATATTAACATTAAATGGACATCAAATAGTAAATATCCAAAAAGTAATATTAAATACTAGTTGACTGAGAATTAATATTTAATATCGGTTATAATTAATATTTAATATTACTAATGTTTAATATTAGTTCTTAGACAGGAAGAATTAACACATGAATGGTTTACCGGAAATGTGCATCATATATTAACCATTGAATAGGAGTTTGGTTATCAGATTCAAAGATTCTATTTTTATTGTTATATCTCATTTCTCAAATATTTTATCAAATATTCCATTCATTGCACATAAGCTTGCTTATCAAAACAAGATAATTGATAACTGAACAAGAAGATAATTGAACTCTGTTATTAGATCGGCAAATAAATTGTTCGTGTATAATCTCACGAAGGTGGGATTTTGATGATTTGATGGGAATTTTGATGGAACCCTCCATTTCAATCTCTACCTTCCCTCATTTTATCCTCTAAAACGTTCTTTGAATTTCTGAATTCTTTATTTCGATTCTGTCCGATTTTATGGGCAAATTATTTATGGAACCATAGCCGCTTAATCCTATTTTTACTTTTCATCACATTGTGTCCAAAAATTATCGAACGGCCGAGTCATCAATGTAAAAGCTGTTATTATGGATCAAATAATAATTAGTAATCGAAGAATAATCATAATTAATCAATGATGTATTCGCTCTGAATAGTAGCTATAATAAGCGCAGTATTGCCAACGAAGCTAGTTAAAAGATATTGTAGAATAATGCAAATTCATAAATAACGTTCTTACACGTGACCCCATTTCTTAAATTTATTTCAAGTTCATGCATAATTCATTTATTAATGTAAAATATACCGCAAAAATGTAAAAATGCGGTTATAGCTAATATACATATGAGCGGGGAATTGGGAAATTATTGGACGTCCATAAGCACATTGAACATATTCGAAAAAAGTATAGAACTTCAGAGTGATTCATGTATCAACAAAGTCTGAATCCCTTATAATAATCAGAGCTGAGTGAAGCAAGAAAACAACACATCTTATGACTTATCCTAGAGATCATTAATTGCCATTCATGGTAACTCTGCCATTGCAATTAGTGCTTTGTAATAAATGAAGATAATTACGAGAGATTTTGTGAATGGATAGAAATGTGAATTCCCTACAGCTTTCTGCAAACTATTTCGAAGATACCTGAACAGGTTCAACTTAAGCTTACATCAGTAATCATTTTTCGTCATTCGACGACTCGACTTACGTGCGATGTCTGAAATGAGGGAATCTGTGATTATGTATATTTCGGTGACTTTTGATATGATTAAAAAATGACTAGTTAAAAAATTTCTTGAGTTACTGT